ACTGTCAAAACATGGATCTACCTGGATCTTTACAGTAAGCCTACTTCCTGACCAGTGTGCTATATCTTGTGATAAATAGTAGAAAATAAAGATGTTGCATTAAAGTTAGATTCATTCACTTGTTGACATATTATTGAAGTTACAATTAAATTCCATGAGCTTTATTGGCATGAATGTAACAATGATAACGTTATAATGACTTCAGCATACTGAGATATCTAGCTAGAAAAAAGATTATTGGACTCAAATGCCTTTAAGGATCTTTTTTTTTTTTTTTTTGTCTTATGGATCAATTCCTCTTTTTAAATGGCTTCCAGCTAAATGCAGTGCCAAATAGTGGGTGAAAAGACGTTGCATTGATTTGAAATTACATTTACTGACTACTAACTGGCAGTCTGGTCTTGTAAAGCCGTGCAGGATGTTGGAGCTTCCAGCCAGTGCTTAAACAAGCCCATCCCCCACCACTTAGGGTGGACCACTTCAAATAAATCTCAACCTTGGGGAAACGAAGTACGATGTTTTATACTACAAAGGTGCTCCATCTCATCTCAACACGTCTAATGACACTAACTGTATTATGAGGCTTAATATGGACTCCCCTCTGCACAAAGGGAATTAAGAAACGCATACACTTCCCATTTGGCAGGCATTTCTTATCTTCACCCAAGTAAAAACCCAGACTGTAAGTGCATGAGGGTATACACACTCAACCAAAGGTAAATGGTTTCATCAAAGTGATTTTAGAAGTAACTAAATTAATTAGAATTACCTTAAAGTATATTGGCTAAATCCTTTCTTACTTTGCCATCAGATGGTGTGCAGCCATGAGATGACAGGAGCCTTACAAAGCCAACATAATCCCCTTGTCCTGGACTAATCTGATGCCCCGGACCCTCAAAACAAACACTGTTAAATTCTCGTCTTCAACCCGGTTACTCCGATATGCAGCTTTAGTTGGAACAGATTCTAATAAGGTTAAAGGCTGAACTAAGAAATAAAAACCTCAGTGATTATTGCACATCTTAAGGGGTTGACATTTCTTATTGTGCAACAGAAGCAGCTACACATGCCAGGCCAATAAAGCTGATTCTGAAAGACATTTTTAATGTCAGTCACATACAGACACATCAGTCAATGGCACAATCAGTTGTTCCCATGCTATCCTGGTTTACAAAAGGTCACATCGCAGCTGTTTAGTTTTCACAAAATCAAATTGGTGAATAGGGAAATTCACAAAATGCTGTTGTTCTCCTGTTTACTTCATCCAAGCACACATCCCAGGCATCTATAAAATGTCATGTAAATTTGTGGAGCTTAGAGTCTTAAATTTCACTCCTCCTCCACGATTGATGGCTCTGTCAGATTGTAGAAAATGTGTCTGGCAAGCTACAACAAGGCTCCTAAAACCCTTACAATGATTAGAGGTAATCAGATGGAGAGGATCTGGCTTTTAAAAAAAAGTACTCAGCTGGATAGGAAGAAGTAGCAGCTCTGTGCTTCACAGTGAACTGAGTTTGAATTGTTAGAAAGAGATGGAACAGAAGATATAACACATTTGCTCTGAAGAAGTAGTGAAATTGTTAACAAGGACACCAGTGCTCCAACTATAATTATGCGTGCTTAATTATTTCAAGTCGGTGGAAATCATTGGCAATGAGAAATCCTCTGAGGCTGACAGTATTTTATTACTAAATCTTGTATTGATTTAAGAATGACAAGTGCATGAGAAGAAAACGTTCTGTATGAAATCAATGCCAAAAAGGCATAAATGAATCAATAACGGCTAAACACTATGGCAGCCTAAGTGAAAGGCTAGACTCTCTTAAAGAGAAATTATATTTGCTCTAGTAAAGTTGATGTTCTTGTTGCGCCATTGACCAAAATAGTCTTTTGTGGCTGGCTGAGTAGAATGATAAAATGTCCAATATACTGGGGATATGCATAACACCTACGCCCAACATTTATTTTTGTGTTCTTGAGTGCTGAATGTGTGAACTCTGTTGACATTGCTTGCCATGCAAGACCTAGAATCATCAACAATAACAAAGGCCATCCTCAATGGCTGACAAGGTTACACTAAAGCTACACTTCAACCAACCAACTGCTTTGCCAGCTGACCTTCACAACAAAGTGCTTAAGCCTTGTTCATTTGCACTGAACTCCTGAAAAAAACTCCTGAACTTTTCAGTGTGAGCTGCATGCGTAAATGCAAAAAGCCAGATTTTCACTCTGCCTTCTTCTGCCAAGCGCCCCTTGTATTTTTTTTCAGCAGAAAATCAGCTGATGTGAAAGCGCAGAAGGATATAATCAGGAGAATTCAAATCAAGCGAGGGGAAGGGGATGATGACGTTTATTCCCTTCATGATGCATAGACTGCATGCACACGACCGTTACGATCTCCGTGTAAACAATTTAACGGCAACATTATTGTTTCTGTTTGCCAGTATTTTCTTCTCCGCTCTTTTGTGATTCTGCAAAAAGCATTGATGTAAAGGCAAATATTTTCATTATAGTGTCGACTCCGTTGCTTCGTCCTCCGCTTCTGAGGCGTTCTTTTTACGCCGCGTCTTGCCTCGGGAGACCCCACGCCCCCTCGAGTCCGACAGGGATAGTCCCCAGCTGTGAGGTGCATGTGTGAACAACCAGATTTGGAGGAATTCAGTGGGCAGTCATCCTGAAATTATCTAGATATGTTCAGGAGTGCAATTGTGCAAACAGCTTAAGTGTTACAAATCCACAGGTCTGCTGCAGGATAAGTGGGTTGTGCTCTTAGAACTTCCAACATCCAAATAACGGCGCAAGTGTTCAGTGCAAATCAGACATGATTACAGTATAACACACCAACACAAAGCGGATTAACAGTACAGTGAAGTCTTTTTTTTTATTGTGTGATTCCAAGTAATATCTAAATGCCTGCATTAAGAAGCTCCAGCCCAGAGTTACTGCCACACCCGGACAATGGATCTGCCAAACTTATATTTAAAACTTAACTGCAGCATTAGTCAGGGATGCCTGAGGCTCTTCAGGAACGAGTCAAATGATTCACTGCCAAATATTCAAGGTTTATTTTTGTGGACTGGTGCACTTATCTGAACAGATAGCAGCGGAAAGAAGGACATTAAACAAAAACACTTGTTTCTAATGTACCAAATTAGACATCCTTGAGAGATGATTGTGCTCTAAAGGCTGATTATTACCAATTTTCTATACTGATGATCACTATTTTTGATGTTTAAAAAGCCCAATTCTATCTTAATGGTGATTGTTTTTTGGACATCAGAGGCTTCCTGGTCTCCTGTCCAGATGTATTAACCACTAGCATATAGGGGGCTTTTGCTGTATGCAAGGTTACCAGTCACTAAGAGCGCAAGAGGCGGAACTCATCTGCTGTAATACAACTCTAGAACTCGTCTGCTGTTTTCTGATAACAATTAAGCTTTTTTTTTTTTACTAATCTCTATGATTCTCCTTAATCTCTATAAACATACTTTGCATTTGAGTGCACGTAACATTTATGTTGAAGACAATTTCTCTCCAGTGTCTTATGTTGCTACACCAACTGCAAGTAATTACCATTGAACGGAGAAGGAAGTCTTGGTCCCGATAGCCTTAAATGCTTATCCCAATTACAGCAGGTTACACCGTAAGCCTAGAAAATATTGCTAGGGGGCTACATCATACAGCTACGATAGTATTATTATCGATGATAATTATTTTGACCCAAAAAACGCCATTGTAAGAAGCTGATGGCCTAGCAGTTAGGTTAGCCCCCATATACAAAGGCTTATGGTCCTCCAGGCAGGGTTCAAGTGTGAACTGCGGGCTCCTTTCCCACATGTCATTCCCCACTCTCCGTCCCTGACTTCCTACTCTTTCCAATGTCCATGTTGAGAAATTATAAAATTCTGTAATTGGGGCTTTTTAATCGGAGCACAGTATTGGTTTGCAGACTACTTGGAAAGTCTTTAATGTGGTGTTGTCATACTCTCCGGAGTAGCACAGACCACAGGGTTAGCCCATAGTGGTCTTGTAAAAAACAATTCCTCTTTAATTGAATGACTCACTTTACTGCGCTGAGACAGCCCCAACACAATGAGCCAACGAAAACAAATTGGAGAGAAGGTTCCTTCATTTTTTTTTTTTTGTTAGAAAGCCCTAACTACACGTTTTATTAGACCACTATCCCTCATTTGTTTTTTAATACATTCTCCCCTAAGGTTTCACAGGAGATGACTTTGCTCTGCCACACATAACTTGTTAAAAGCAAAGGTCTAAGTTATTCTTACAGTGGCACCAAAAAAAAAAGGGGGAAGTGAAAAGGAGGTTTCAAACAGTCTTGACTAGCACCACATAGATTCATAGAAGTGACACGTTATTGAGAAACTTTTTTTTCCTGTCTTCCTACAGATACTCAAAAACACCTTCACAGGTGACCCCTGGGGAGGGGGGGGTCCCCGGGACACAGCTTGGGAAACACTACGCCTCACTGGTGGAATCTCAACTCCTTTATAAACTAATTTTACAATGAAATTCATGAACTGACATTCAACTTTTAAAAAGGGTCAAAATGATAAATGCAGGCAGGTGAGGGTTTAATGCCTCATGTGTAATACTGAAAGACACTTCATTTACCCTCCTCGGGTCAGAACTAATACTGAAGATTAACATTGTTTGTTGGTGTCGGTGCTTCAACAAAGCTCAGAAGTAAGTTTCCACTTTTACATTGCACCTTGGTTGAACTTCAAGCAGCTAACAGAGCTGGTGTAATGAGCTAATGTGACTAGTACGCTAGCTGGCAGAGTGAAACAATGAGCTCAGAGTGCAGTCAGCCTTGGCTAGCTTTGCTGCTGCATGCTGTGTTGGCTATATGGTGTGAAGCTAGCCAGCTCTACTCGCACGCAAGGCTAACGTTAAATGGCTAAGGAGTCGGTAGCACCATCAACAATGAGAGAGAGTGAGAGGGGGAAAAAAAGAGGAAAAAAAACAACATAGTAACTTACCGACTTAACTAGCCACTCCTATTCCAAACACCGCTCCGTCCATGGTGGTGTGCACTCCATAAAAGAAAGAACTAATCAGAGCAATGGGCTTGATTTACAATAATAAAAAATAAAAAAACCTCTATGAAAATGTGAAGCACCAGAAACCAGTGGCAGAAGCACTCCCCCAAGACATCCAACACAAGAGAGGAGGGGAGGCCAGCGATTCACTGGACTTCTGCCATCACACTTGGAGATAACCGTCCACATCGAAAACAACCCAGTCCGGAGGGCATTTTTTTTTTTTTTTTAAATCGGTGCCGTCTCAAGCCCGACACAAGTCCATTCCCTTCCCGCGGTCTTCCCGACAATTAATCCCACTGCGAGTCGCGTACCATCCAGGTTAATTCCTCCGTAATTCACCGTTTCTTTGGATGAGCACCGCGGTGGGTTCTTCGTGTGGGAACTGATACAATGTAGCCAACCAGCAGCAGTGGGGAGCGGGAAGGAAATCCAGGATGAGGCGTTCTAGTCGGATTGAACTGTCACAGTCCACGGAGCCCGGGTTTAAAGACACGGAACTGGATTAACCGCACTACACGGATCGTGATTTAGTGTGTTTTTGTTTTTTTTTTCATAGAGGACGAGGAGAATCAACCAGCTTGTCTTTTTGGCTATTTTAACCACCCGTTATTCTGCAAAGCGAATCCCTCTATAGCAAATATAAAGGCTATGTAGCCTAAATTATATAGCTAATATATTACACATAGCCATATGCCTACACACACAGAGTTTACAAGGTGTTTAATTTCTGCACAATTGTATGTATGCAGCCTATAAGGAAAACAATTACATTGTGCATTTCTGTTTGAGGTGCAGAAAATGAGAGTAAGACTTTAGCGTCCGATCCTCCTGCTGTTTATGCAACAATTTAAGAAGTTGGACACAAAGTAAAAGTAGGAATACAATTCTCAAATGTGAAATTACACTGTTTCTGTAACGGGGCAAGTAGGTCAAAATTAGTATTTACTGCTATAGTATTGAATATAATCAGGCTACATTAATAAATCACTGGGTCTGTTTTTATGATGCCTTGAACTTTAAAAGAGGTTAGTTACAATTATAGTATAACAATGAACCTTGTTTTTTAAAGGAGGAACAAATGGTTATTGGTACAGATCATTAAAATGACCGGTTCAAAACCAGTTTTGGGTTGACGTTTTTATTTGTTAAAAATACATGTTGGTTATCCATTAATAAATTCTAACGGTTTCTCCGTTTTTAATTAGCCATCTGGTCTGCAGATATAAACTTGAATGAGCCATAAAATTAATGATTTTTTTTAAAACACCAATCCAAGTCTGCTGTTGTAAATAACATTTTAATGAGTGAATGTTGATCCTGTGGTTGATCAGTGTGTTGAAGTGGTCTTTATTCATTAGAGTGGTATTTTTTTTTTTTTTTAAACAGAGCAAGTGTAAGCAAGAGGAAGAAAAACACAGGCCAAAGGAATATATTCAAACCTAGCAACTCAAACATTGTCCATGGCTATATATTACTAATAAAGCTGTTATGCAGCTCAGATACACAAAGTGTGCAATAAGAAATGAGTGTCATTACAGTTGACTAATGTATACAATCAATTAAGCATAATCTGTTACACACTGTGATTGCTTTTTATTTAGAGAGTGGATTGTATGTACACAACAAAGTGCATTTCAAATAGAAAATCATATCGTCTGCATATAACGTGTTTTTGCCAGTGCAAAACGCCTCTTTAAACATACTTGAACACAATATAAGACTGTAAGTCCTTTTGTTAGGCACAAGACAAAATAAAAAGGTAAAATCTTGATCTTTATCATTCAGTGTGAATTGAAATTGTCACCTTTGTGACTTTCAAATCCATGTTTTAATTGAACTGAGCTGGGTATGAACAAACAACCAAGAGGGAACTTCTCACTGAGACAGAAAATAAAATGATTCCAACAATATAACCCTCTCGGATACGTTTGGGTTCCGACCCTCACAGCTCCATGGATAACCTTTCATGTTTACCAGCTTCAAACACCACGAAGGCTTTAAGTCGTTGTCTCTCAGCGCTGGTTTCCCAGGCAACAAGAATATGATAATGTTGCCTTTGACATGACAGAAGGAATCATCTCGCTAACAAACAGAGACAACAGGCACAGGGAGGGCCGGGGGAGAAGCAAGGGGAGGGGGCTGAATTAATGGACTCATTTTCACACAGAGGGAAAAGCAGCAGCAGCAGCAGGAGCAGCAGCTACTCACCATCCTCCATCCCATACTCCATCTTCCTCTATTGCCTCCAATGCATTCCTGCTGGCAGGCAAACTCATGCCCTCCCATGGGAGCAGCCAGCCTCCATTGAGAAGCTAAATAACAGTCAGTGGCGAGTGGGGGACTGCAGGGGACACATTTCTGTTGACGACTATCCTTCGAGGCTCCAAACCAAGTGCTCCATAGCTGCTGAGTGTCGCACCAACCCAAAGCTGAAATGAACAAGCTGTGTGGACTCCATGTGTTTTCCATCAGCGAAAAGGGCTAATCAGCCAGCCATGTGGAATCACAGAGAGGCTGGCTCCATTTGTGTGATCATCTTTCCATTACTCTATAAAAAAAAACTGTAAAACCTTGAAACCCATATTAATAGACATGTTGTTTAGCACATGTTCAAATGAAAGGTTTCTGTCAACTGATAGCATTGTAGCATATTTAAAAAAGGCAGTAACATAGAGAAGAAGTCATGTAAATAACATCAGTAAAAATCGAAGGTTAAGCTACGTAATAGGTTCAAGTGAGTAACTTTAATAATAGATTCCAATGATTCATCAAATAGTTTTAACCATTACCCCCATTCATTTCCATTCTCTATGTTAAAGACTGCTGTTCAACTTGTCGTTTTTAAATGTGTGTTCCATTAGAAGCCAGACACGCTGGTCCTTCTGTTGATCCATCTGCTAGTGTAAACCAAACAATGTCTCACTTTTTGATTGGATTGCAACAAAATGAGTAAAGTAATTAAGTTAGTAGATTTAGTAAAGTCACTAATGGTCCAAGTAAGTCAGAGTCGCTAGAGATCCACTTACAATCTTAATATATTTGGACCCTTATTGGATTAAAGTTTGGTTTACTATTGGATGGATTCCCATGACCCTTACGGTGCAAACGTTCATGCCCCATCATGATGTATCTTTATAATGTTGGTGATCCACTGAGCTTTTACTCAAAAATCTTTCAGGCTTCTTTTGATTAAGTCCTCCTCAACTCTAAAACTTTAATCAAATGCCAAATAATACCAAATCTTCAAGACAAATGCATTCTCATCAGACTCAGTTGTACTTTGTGTTCAATGCCAAATAGATTTTTTTTTTTAGCTAAGTTAAATTTAGAGTTAACATGTTTAGAATACACCTGATTACCATCAGTGTAAGCATTTAACTAGATGCATGCTGATGTTAGCATGCAGCTAAGCCTCACTTGCTTAGCAGTAGACTATGACTTTTTGTAAGAACAAAAAGTCAAAATAACATAAAATTCAAAAGTTAGTTTTACTTCAAGTCTATGAAAATGTTCTGTTAACTCAATATTATACGTTGATGTCACCTCAACTAATTGAAAGTTTTCAGACTTTGAAAAGTGATTCATATTAACGTAAAAATGGCAGTCTCCTTCGAACCCTCCTATATATATATATATCTTTTTTTCTCTCTGTCTCTCTATTGTCCTTTGTCTTGCATTAATAAAAAAAAAAGACGAGACCTCCACCTCACCCGTAGTGATGAACGTATAAGATTGATGAGGCAGCAAGGATATCTTCCAATACAGTTTAATTCATGGATACACCACCACAAATCATTATCACCCTTTCTTAAATAAAACTTCAAAACTAAAAGTGGTACTAAATATGGATAGAGAAATACACCCCCGTCCTAAATCGTGTGGTAGTAATTATCCAATGGCTGGTGAAACATGATGCTCTGAACAGACTTTTCCTGCCAATCTCTCGATCTTTTCTCGCGTGCGAGATCGACCGAACCCGCCTTGTTCTCCTCCCACTCTTTGACTCCCGTCAAAAGCCGTAAAGAGAGCAGAAAAAACAGCAAAATACAAAAGCAAACATTGATGATTTATTGCCGATTTTGTGTGTACATTTTGGCCACAAAGAGACGAATGCAATCAAATCAACTTTGTTGCTAGTCATTGTCATATCCAAGACTTAAATCACCATTTAACTAATAACCTTGCATTTAAAGGGTATTTGTTTGTGTTTGTGAATGTTTGGTAGTTTTGAGGAAGTCAGAAGTTGTTTTACCTTGATAAACTGAAGAAGCTGGTCATGAGGCAGGATACTGCTCTCCACTGTGGCGGAGCCGGCTCTTTGTCCAGCATGAAGAACTCCACACTCCGTACACTTCCCTGTCAAAGGCAGTTCAAACAGAATGATTACAGACAAAACCAGCTTAAAATGCAGTTGGAAAAACATCAGTGATAAACGTATAAAACGGACGAGGCAGCAAAGATATATTCCAATACAGTTTAATCTCTCTGTCTTAAATATAACTTGGTGGTACTAAATATGGATAGAGAAATTTATCACCATTCTAATTCGTGCCAATATAACTTGGCATAGTGAAAGTAACGTAAAACAAAGTTGCTTTATAAGGTTAAACATAACATTAGTATCTCATAATGAGTTCACCTGTAACATCACACACGTTTTAATTTATTTGTTTGAATCTTAGACACACCCTCAAAGGCTGAAAGTGAAAGTCTGCAGTTGTATTTCTTGTGCAGGTCCAGGAGCTGATGGAGGTAGGACACCAGGAACTTGAGATTCTCCAGCTCTTTGGAATCATAATTAACCTCCCTTAAAAAGAACAAAATTAAAACATAGGTCAGGGTAGGCTATCGGCTGCCAATTATAAAGACAACAAAAGAAAGGCTCAAATACTTGTCCAGATGTGTATCGCAGCTTGAGGTGAGAGCAGAGAACTTACCTAAATGAGATACTCACTTAAATGTCTTCTCACTATGCGAGTATTAAATATTACTCACTGCTCCATTTCTTCACTGTTGGTATGACAGTGACACTGGAAACTTTGTCAATTCAACACCATGGCACAAATGATATTCACTCACCACATTGAATGATGTTCTTATGTTTTACTTTTACTAGTTACCAAGTTCGCTTGACATAAGGGTTTGTTATATTGAAAGCAATAAGAAAAAACCCCACACAATATATAAATATATATTTACAGCGTAGGCAAATTAGTACGCCTATCTAAAGAAAATAATAACGTTCATTCGTGATAGAAACTCATCTCATGCAGAGGTGTTTGATTTGGCTGTTAATATGGTCTTCAAGTTTTACTGTTGGCCATTTAGCCAACAGTTTGTTGTCATCAATAGGTAGCAGCACCAGCACTTTCTGTCCAGGGTCGAATGAT